TTTTTTTTATTCCGTTTCAGATATTTTTTTTTAATAAATTTTTTATGTCAAACAAAATAAAAAATATAAAATTTTGTGTACAAATAAAACTCAAGTGTTTTGTCTGGGCTCATTCGGAAATTATTATTTTTTATACATACGTATTATTATAAGCGATATTTTTTATTGCTATCGAAAAGGTAAACATTTTTTCATATTGTTAAATTCTCTTTGTAACCATTTTTTCTTTAGCCACATTCTTGTAATGCCAATTTGGCGTCCTAAATTGCGTGACGAGCGATTTTCACGATTAGACAAATGCTTGTTATTACTAATTTTCTCAATTACCGTTATTGGCATACTTAACTTGCTTGCATTGGCGCACACTTGCTTGTGATTATTATTTGAATTTTGCATAGACTTGATTGCATAATATTTTTGCTTGTTCAATGCGGCTTTCAATTCAGCGCGGTTGCATTGCTCCATTATTCTTAAAAATTAAACCGGCCGTTAGAATACGTAATAGGCTTAAAAATTAAGATATAAACGCGATAATAAGGAAACTATAATATCGGCTGCTGTTATAATAACATATTTGTGATTGTTATGGGCGTGGCTAGTTCTAGGTTTTTGGTCTGTTTTCGTATATGGTTTATGTATTTTGCTGAATTAAAATTTTCTTTTGGCAAAATCTATTTTTTTTTATAAATATTTGGTTTTAATAATTCTGAAAACGAATGTTGTTTGGTCTCAAATTGATTTTCTACGGCGTTTTGTGTATGACTGACTTAAAAAAAATGTAATTTTAATAAAAATTAAACAAATTTATAATAAAAAAAAATGTTTTCATAATAAAGAAAGAAATATTTATAATAAAAAATCATAAAAAAATATAGTTTCATATGTACATATTATAAAGTATGCATTTATTTATATACAGTATGCATTATTTGTAAAAAATCAACTTATTATTTATTACTATGGAATAATTGTTTAAATATTGTAACTTATATAGCCTGGATTTTTTTAAACTGCCTTATTAGTATTGGAGCGTGACTTTAGTGGAGTGTTTTATTTTTATTAATAATTGTATTTCACCTAATATTAATATGTTATTTTAAATATAATTATTTAGTTTAAAGTGGGGAAAGCACTGCATATAGTATAATTATTTGTTTTGTATTAAAATTAAAAAACTACTTTGGGAAAGAACAGAAATCGGAAATATGATTGCACAGTTACGCTACGAAAACACAAAAACATTTATTAAAATATTGACACATTGTTTCGTATATCAAAGGCACAAAATATAAAATTTGAATAGAACAAAAAAAATTTTTTTTCGATAAGCAGATAAAATAGTATTTAAAAAATTTATCTTTTAGATAAAAAAAAATAAAAAATATTGTGGCAACACTTTTTTTCTGTAT